CGTTTCTTTCATACGATATCTTATATAAGTTATCTTTCTAATGTTTTTCTTTCGTGTCTGGAGATGAGTGTTGGTAAACTTTCGTTAAATGTCCGTAAAATTTAAACTTGCTGGTAATAAATAGATTGTTTGTCTTATGTTTGTTATATCTATCTATTTCAATGTGTATTGAGACGATACTTATTGTATTGCTAAATGTCATGTTACGTAAGTTATTTTCACTGTGTCTTTTTGTGTGTGTGTGTTTGGTGACAGTGCCGCTCTGCCCTGTGTTTTTGGGGGCAGGAACCCGTCAAGCTGCAAACTTGCAGCTTTTTTTCCTGCCCCCCCCCCCCCTGTCACATGTGTGTAAAAGCGCTGTGAAAAAAAATAAACCGATTCTGATTCTGATTTTGAAATAGCTTTGTCGCTTACCTCAATTTCCGGTTAAAAGTTCACTCTGTTGCCCTTGTCATCGCCTTGTTTCGAGAGGCAGTGGTGGCGAACGCTCTCGTCGAAAAGGGACACTCTCATTTGTTTTATATACTTTTTATGTCATACCGAAATCTAATAAGCGCCATACGGATTAGCTTCGTAACATAGGGTACGTACACCTTGTTATTAGTATGTTCTTTTGCTTCTGACACGACGGTACGGCAGCACTGCCGAGCTAGAGCAGTTTGTGCGAGCTACGTGATGCGAGTCCAACCTTCCTCTGCCGAGTATAGCAATGCGGGTCCAACCGTCCTCAGCATCGAATCTAGCAAGCAGAAAAGATCAGTCCCAAAGCGCTTACCAAGACGTGGTCCAACTGCGCAGTTTCAGCGCTTCGATCAAGCACGCGCGTGTCCACTCCCAGTGTGAACAGGTACTTTACATGGCTTCTGCTGACACTCTCGTAGTTAAAACTTATATTGTGCGTCAACTTGCTCCTGCATCCCTCAGGCCGCTAAAAATGACACGACAATTTTTTTTTTTTAATGTGCGTTTCTTTGCAATCGAGTGGCGCGGGCGGTCTCCTTTTAGCAACGATCATAGTTCTGCTCACTTCGTATGGATAAGTTCGTGGGAGTCGACGAAGGTGGTTATCCCGGCCTCGGCATTCGGGCCCGCGTTTAAATCGTGGTAGCGTCGACATTTCACACACGGACATGATCACCACCAGACAAGCGTTGTCGGAAAGGCCGCCTGCTTTTGTTCTAAAGAATCTCTTAACCAGATACTTTGCCGGCTGAGCTAAACACACCGGGTGTGGGAGTGAGGAGCTGACAGTAGCTTTAAAAATTCTAACTTTATACAACTTGATCATGCTGACAAAGACCGAGGCGTACAGAATATGTTGAGTGGCCATATACTCATCATATGCGTGGGTTCTGAATGCTTTTTCTGTGTGATAGAAAGCGGGGTGCTGTGTGCGGTGCTTGCGATACCACGCACTTAATTTGTATGGAACCGAAAAGAAAATAAATTTGAAATTCGTGTTCATTCGACATGAAGTCGGTCTGCCTTTGAGCAGCGGCGAACTGGTTTACATAGTAGGTGAGAAATTTAACCAGTGCAATACCATTGTTAGTCTGGGGTATATACCGTGCATCAAGCAGTAGTCGTACATGACCGCACGCCGGTACTACGCTCATTCAAATTAAAGCGAGCCCTGAGGGGTAGAGATTAAACCCTGGGTTCTGCAGCCTGAGCTTTCGCTCCACGCCCAGCGAGCTGGGCTGCGTTAACCAACTCGGCCACTGAATATCTACACCCGTCTGGAGCGAGTATTTGATTCGCTCAGAGAGGCTGAAGAGTGAACCTGACAGAGCAGCTATTTCTTCTAGCCGCTAGGTGCCGCCAATTTCGCTGGAGTCGCCTATAGCCAAACAACAGGTTTATAATAGGGAGTTTTCGTATAACATTTGATACAAATAAGTAGTGCCTTTTTCGATTTGCGACGCGGTTTCGTCAGAGGCTTAACAGTACAGTCATGACATTCTTTTAATTGCAATGTTTCACACAGATTTAGCAAATTCAATGAGGTAGTTGAACTTTCGCCCAGATTTTGTTAGGGTGCTTCATACCCCCCCCCCCCTTCTTATTTACACTCGCACAGTTTGTCTCTGCTCACTCGTGCATGCACAACAACATAGTCAAGCAGACGTGGCGGCACGTTTCACTTGTCGCGGTTCTATTCTGTGGGCTTCTGGTTGATACTCCTAATCACCACCTAGTTTCGTCGCGGTTGACCTTTGGATAAAGAAAATCATGCTTTTATTAAAATCAACAATATCAAACTGAAATATTTTTTTTTTACTTCAACCTATCATAAAACTATTATTATCCTTGCAGCCCAAATAAATTCAGTCGTACGGCTTTGTTATCTATAAAAGGTGTTTGCCGTACTGCTAAACTTCACGCGTTACCTAGGTTAGACCGGTGCGGGGTGCACATTGAACACCAAGCATGTGTTACCGTACGGCCGGGAGTCGTAACATCTTTGCTTGTACGCAAGTTTAAGCCGAACTCTGGCGCAGCAGGGTTCGTACCCAATCGTTACGTGTGGTAGGCAAAGCAGAACATCCAGCAATACGAACTCCTTATACGGAAGGCCTCCCAGGCTGTTTTCCTTTTCGCATAAACACTGCCACCGCCACTAGTGACAACTCCTCTCCAAATATACTTTGTTTTTATTGTTTACCTTCGTCTATCATTAGCTGGCTATATCGTCAAGCTCTAGAAAGTTTTCTACCTTCAGAGGTTATGTTAAGCACGGGATATATGTAATTTTACCACTGTCATTCGAACAACATTCTCGAGAAGAAAAAAAAAACACTTTTTTTGATAATGATAATATTTTCATGATAATATTCATGATAATATTTTTCTAGCTTGTTTTAAGGATCCTATTTTTTCGTTCATTTATGCATATAACAGGTATCGGGCTTTAAAAAAAACGTGGTTTCATACGAAAAAAAACAACAAAAAAAACAGTCCTTTCTTTTCGGCTTTCTAGTGTTATCCTCGAATGTGCGATAAGTTGAAACTATGCGAGCGGTGTGTGCCTTAATGGAAACAAATAAACTAGCGATTATAATTTAACAGTTAATAATCCGCTTACCAGTGCTCGCAGGCGAGAAAAAATTACCCGCCTCAAATTAGCAACGGAAAACTTCGCAGACCCTTCATGAGTCCCGGACCTCGTAGAAAACTCATAATGGCAGCCCAGTAGTTTACGCACCTAAAGACAAGAAAGATAATCCGTTTGTTAGCCGTCATCCTACGTGACACGTTCCCAGCCAACAAAACAGTCATGAAAGCTTACCTTTAAGTGGAAAATAGGATCCTGAATAATCCTTTCAAGAGCCACACGTTATCTCTCATGCTCTTGTCACTCAAAGAATATAATTAACGTAGTAGAGATGACGCTCTCAAGCGTCCTCTCAAGCACAACTCGAGATGACGTCACTAGTTTTTTTCCTTGTTTGACATTCATCGCACTGGTTATTCGGCTTCTGTACTTGTTTTGTGCAATTTTCCTTGACCAATTACGCGAGCTATGTTTTAATCCTTGTATCGACGTACACTAGAATAAATGTACATGCTTTAGTTCATTGAAATATGACTACCGCAGCGTTTATGGAACACAAACTTACGCTCCAGCGGTTCGTGTGGCTTTCGCAGCATCCTATCACTTCATATAAACCGACCCAAAGTTAGTTTAAAGACGTCAAGTATGTTCGCCCTGTCCACTGCAGCCAGACATGTTGGCAAAGCGTCTGGGCATTTGATAATTTTAGACGTCGCACTGCCAGCTAGACAGCTGTCTAGTAAGTCACACGTCTGCTCTTTTCAGTCTCGGAGACAGAATTAGCTAAGAGTAAGGGGGCAGATTGCGTCATGGAACTTGTAGCTATATTTGTGCCGGGTGGTTTCTTTGTCCCATTTTCCTCGTTTAGATTCTCTTCTCTTTTTTTCCCCTCCCGCCCCGTATATTTTTTTTTGTCTCGCGCAGTTTTCTTTTACATTTACTTGATATTAGGGTTGAAACATTACTTCTATATTCCTACATTATAATCACTATTTGTCGATAATGGTTGCATGCCCGATGAATTGGAAAGCTTAATTCTTGCGTGGTTTCCATGAGACATGTATCTACAGATTCCTAAATATTATTTTCTTGCAAGGAATATTTTTGATATCACGTAGCAGTGCCAGTAGCCAGGTCTCAGTGTTACTTACGCAGAATACGTTGTAAGGCTATGTAGGAAGAGAGAAGCAACCGACACCATCTGCTCCACCATACTCCGCTAGATTTATCGTATTTGAATGACTCTACGTACAAAGTTTTATATATACATTCCATCTGCAAGACTTTTTTTGTCAAACTGTAATGGAATCGAGCTGAATCTTGTTTCTGTGTACTCAGTCATGGTTTTACTTGTACAGCATAAATCAAAAGGTTAGCTTCCGTTTTGCTTGTTTTGGCCCTTCAAATCTCCTAACCATGAAGGGTAATGAAAAAAGGACCTTTGTTCCTGCTTCCTATATCTGAGCAGTCTTCAGTATAAAATTTAAAATACGTTCATGTTGTAGCACACATATTCACGGATATTTTGTTTTGCATAATCGTTCTTATTGTGCGTATTTTAATTGTTCTCATTTTTAATACACAATTTAGTCGCGGTTATTAATTACAATTGTTTGATAAAACATTTTAGCTCTTCACTGATAACCTAACTGCATGATGATTATTTGTGCTTTCAACAAATATATTAAAAGTCAATAAGCATTGCGGAAAATTTATCTTACAACGGATTTTAACAACAAATTGTATATCATTTTCAAGAATAAGATTACAATAATCTTGCGTCTTTTATCCGACAAGATTTATTTTCATAGTACTCGCTTGCGTAATGTATGTTATCAGACAATACTCACGTTTTTTCAGTCCAGCAACTAAACTATGCAGAGAGTTGTTCATTTGCGCGTGAAGCTGATCCTGAAACTCACCAAATCAGACATCACTCAAACAGTCCCCATAAATAAATAATTCATTCTCATCTGATACACGTATATAATACAATGCACGAAAGTTCTGGATAAAACAAAAAAGTAGGGGTCGAGATCACAATGCCACGTTCAAGTTTTCATCGCTCCACGGTCTTGGTTGTGGTGGCTTCTCCCTCCTTGCTGACGCTGCGGGCGATCTCGCAGCGGACAGGGATCACGTACTCGACACCCTTGCTCTTCTCGACGGGCAGTGGAATCTCAATGACCAGCTTGTTCTCGGCAGTGAGTCGGCAGGCGATCTTCTCCACGTCCACGCCCTCGGGTAGCACCACGTTCCTCCTGAGCTCGCGTCGAATCTTGGTGTCCCCCTCTGTGTGCTCACAGAAGGCCCTGACGTTGAGCTGCCTTCCGACCGCCTTGAGCGTCACGTCGTCCGCCTTGAAGCCTTCGACGTCGATCTCCACCGAGATCTTGTCTTTGTCCGTACTGGGCAGTACCTTGACCTCCTTCACGACGCTCTCTTGCCTCTCGGGCCTGGGAGCACCGTTGTACGCCGACGACGGCAGGAGCGAGGACTCTGGGAACATGCCATCCAGGTACCGCATGCAGTCCGGGAACTCCTTGGCGAATTCGTCCATCTGACGCCTGACGTCGGAAGCGCTGGTACCCTCAAAGACACGGTGAAACTTCTTCACCTCCGTCCTGGTCTGCGTCGTGGAGTTCACGGGGATGTCGACGGAGCGAGACATAGCTGCCCTGAACACTCGGAGACTTCTGCGATGAACCGCCGGTCCAGAGACAAGATAAGAGGGGTGTCTGGAGACTGCCGCTGTCGAATAACACAGACAGGCGAGAGCTGTTTTCTCGGCGTACCCGGGGCCGCCGGTAGCTTTATATAGCGTCTACGCCGTTGAACGTGAAGTCCGCGGCCCGCTTCCAAAAAAGCAGGGCCTCCCTCTCCCCTTTAGCTTTCGGCAGCTCATCAGCGCAGCCATGTTGGAAGGAGGCGGGGGTGGAATGCTTGCGCGCGGCCAAGGCCGATGTCATCTCGTAGGCACGCGTGCGCTGGGTGCTTGTAATCCTTCTTCATTGGCTGTTGTGTTTTGGGGGGGCCAACACGTCACTGTCGGATAAATAGGTTGGGTCAGGAAATGAGTCAGCGACACGTACTCGTCGATGAAATACGGCATGAGAGGACGTAACCTGTGTTCGTAGTTGCCCTCCCTTTCGTCTCACCCCTTGAAAGAGGTGATTTATTACTCTCCCACGGTGTTTGCCGGTGACACAGGTTCGAGTTTCTCGTGTTTCATTCAATTCTAGTACGGTGTGGAAGTATAGTGGTCGAGAAAAATGATGTCAAGCGTCCTGTCGGCGGGAACTGATTTGCAGCTTTTGCTTGGGAAATATGATCGGCCCTGACGCAAGCCTTCTTTTTTTTCTCGATTTTTTACTCTTTTCTTAAAATACCGAAAGCAAATGGGGGAAAGATGGAAGGTCTTTAGGGGTTCACATTCCCCGCATCCCTTCGGCCATCGACCTGTTATGACCCCGAAAGCTTTTATTGTCACTACGAATACTGAACTGGTTCAACCAGGGCTCAGAGAACTTGAAAGTGGCCATATCTGTAATACTTAATGGTTAGACTTAGGGATTAGTAAAAGTACAAACACAAGAATGGTCATAACAACACATCTTAGTCCTTGGTTATTTCTTTGATTTTTTTAAATATTTGTAGCCCTAATAGTTATCAAAAATAAAAACAGACTGAAAAAATAATTATCTTGGAAATTGTATAAAGCTGAAAGTGCCATCACTAAACAACCTTCGTGAAGAGACCACCAAAAATGCGAACACGCCAGCAAGAAATCTAGGTGCCAAAAGTTAATCTCAAAGCTACGGGGAGAAGCAAGGCAAAAAAAGAATGCAAGGTGGTATGTTTTGCACAAGGCCACAGTATCTTCTCACCAAAAAGCATTTCAATTAACCAGAGCATTCATTTCATTACCCCGAGAAGGAAGCGCAAAAAAAAAAAAAAAAACATTAAAAGGGTGGAGATATAAATAGGGGAAAAAGTAAACATTTCAATAAAGATTTTGCCTATATTAATATATTAAAGCGATAAGAAATGAAATAGGGGATAAAGATTTTTTTCGGTAACCCGTCTCATTACAAGACTAATGCGATTTCTGCTGGTGAGTTATACGGTCAGGAGGACATAATATAGAAGGAAAACCGTCACAATACGTCGTATAGTAGTGTGAGGATTACTACTATTAAGTGACCAACTTAAATTGGATACTTCAATTTTTAATTAGTTAGAAAAAGCGTGATATGATTCTAGGTAAAAGTGTTTTGTGCGTCACCTAAAATTCCCAAATAAGTCAATTTTAAAAATACCTGAGGCACGTTTTCGGATCTCCAGTGTTGCTCCCGTTGCAGGAGTGGAAAATTTAGGGCGTCCACTTGCTTACCACGTGTTTCAAATGTTTCTAAATTTGACTGATTCGGTAGCTTTATATGACGTTCAGCAAGCTTCTTAGAGGAACAATATGCTTATATTAACGAATTAAAAAGTTAATCAACCAATTTTCTCTAATTATCCGATTTATTGTGAGCATATTAGCCCGTATATTATGTCCCTCTGAGCCTAAAACGCACCAGCACAGACCGAAGTAGTGGACCTTTTACGGCTTTTTTTTTATATATAAATCTGATTAAATTAAAACACGTAACTTGAATATGAATATACGTAGTGACGCGTTTATTGCATATGTGTCACAACAGAGTCCCTTGTACCTCTCAGATTCGACATACGTGCATGGTACTTGTACTATATATAGCATGTCTGAAATACCCAGGCTCGGTCTACAATGGGCCGTAAAAATCGGCGCCTGCACGTGGTAATGTAAACTTTTTGTCAAAGGTGTATTTCCCAGGTCGGTTTTATTATGTATACTTACAAACCGTTCCTCAGTTTCTATAAAATATAGGGCCAAATATTTGCCAGGGCCAACGGCGGACGGCCACGCAGACGAGCGAGTCGAGTGGCAGGGCGCGTTTGGCGCGCGTATTGATAGGTGGCGTCGGGAGCAGCGTCGGAAGGCGTAGCCGATCAGCGAAAGAAAGCAGAGGACACGCAGACGAAATCTGTCGGCAGTAACAGCACCGCTGGAGCCGTCGTTATGCAACCGTGTTTTCTTTTATTTTTGTTACTTCAAATTTTGCTGTCAATGTCTGCGTTTATTTTTAAACTGAAAGTGTATTGCAAAAATATGATGTCCATTTTAAATATTGATAGACCACGGTCGTCGCAAGCAGCTTTGATAAGGAGGTTGTAGCACCATCTATTAATGTCTGCGCCAAACGTGCCTCGCCAGCAGACTTGGTAGTTGCGTCGCCTTCCGCTGTTGACCATAAGAGTTTTGTAGCCGTATTTTTTTACAGAAAGGGCGCTACGCTTTGTAATTTTACAAGACAAACCGACCTCTAAAATACGCCTTTTACGAAATGTTTAGATTACTACGTGAAGGCGCCGACTTTTACGCCTTATTTTAGACCGAGCTTGCGTATTTCGGACACTTTATATATTACATTACCTAAAATCACTTGGCTTTCCCCTTCATACTACGAGCAGCCGGTGCTGCAGGGGCCTGTGTGTAAGAAACTAATAACAATTTTTTTTCAAGTTGCTCAAACTAATTTCAGAGATTCCTTTTTAAAGAATAGATAAATCATGAAGCTGTGTGAAGATTATGAATGTTCAGTTTCTGAACTTTCTTAGATATGCAGTAGTGTCACATTATAAATGATTGAAAGTGCTGCTTCAAACCTTAAAAGGCCTAAAATTTCTTGACTTCTTAACTAAATATTATGTGAGATTTAAAGGCGTAGACTCACGTATTTATTCGGAATGTACAGAGCCAAATATTTTAAAATGTAAACTGGGGGCATTATCTTACGTAGATAAAGTGAAAGGAAGTAATTACTTTTATGGTAATCAGCAATGCGCCAAATCGCAAACTTGGTCGTGGAATAATGTGCTTTCTTCAAACTTAGCATACATTTTAATCCCAAGCAAGAATTTGTAGTGTATAATCGAAGAAATTTAAGTAGACGTAGCACTGGTTTTTCTTGTTAGGCTAGGAGGCACAATTTGGTTTAAATTTATTTGACATAATTTATATATTTTATATTGCACTCCGAATAATAATCCAAGCTGCACGGGCGGACAGAAAAAAAAAAGGAAACAAAGCCCGTACAAGATCTCAACACAGTTGATCAGAAACAAGGTCAAAACGTCGCAAATGCATGTACAGGTGGACATCGTCAAAAAATATTAGTTAACGAAGCAAATCCATACCGTCTTTAAGCAAACCTAAACACTAGGCTAATTAAACACTGCCGTGTTTAAAGGAAGTATCTAAGCACATAGAGTACGGATTATCAAATATGCGTGCAAATGATTAAAAAGAAACACATTGTCTGCTTTCCCGCGAGCACTTGAGAGAACCAGTGGCAGGAATCTGCTGGGGGATCTCGGTGAAGGACGGGGCTACATTTGTACCACGCCGTAAAAGAAAACTGTCTGCGCTGAGACACTGAGTATGGTGAAACTTTGTGTTCGCTGTCAGGCACTCATTATTAAGGTAGTATGTATTTATAGACAAAGTCAGTGTGATAGTAGAGAAATCTTTTTTTCAAAATTCCACTGCTATTTCCGTGACACTGGGCCCCGTCCCGATTGCAGAACATTTCACCCTCCGTCCTTCGAATTCTTCTGAAACACGACCTTTACCTCGAAGCGTTAAGCATTGTTGATAACTCATTCTACAGAACCTAGAAAACAAAGAAACCCTTTTGAGAACGCCCTGAACAGCTCCGTTAAGCAGGTATAGACTGAGCTTCCCTAAGACCTCTTGTTTCGCACAAACACTGAAATATTCTGAGAGCGAACCCTGAGAGATACGGGATTTAGATATTACAGGAGTGACAGTGATAAGCATCCCCTTCAGGACCTTAGGGAGGATCCGGCAAGGGGACTGCTCGCTCGCGGCACTGAACAACTTTATCGCCTTGCGTTTGCGCTGTACTACTATTTTCAAAGGGCGGTCTGTGCTTGTAGTCTTGCTTAAACATGTTCTCTCTCTGCTCTTTTTTTTTGTGGAAGGAGGAGAAAGTGGGTCGTTAGATATATAAACCCTCTCGAACTGTAGATGTTTTACCTAATGAAGAGAGGTCCCCGCTCCAAACATCGTAATAAACCATGTTGTAGTAGTTTCCCAGCAGAGCACTTCTTTTACTAGGATATTTATATATATATATATATATATATATATATATATATATATATATATATATATATATATATATATCCTAGTAAAAGAAGTGCTCTGGTGGGAAACTACTACAACATGGTTTATTACGGTGTAGAGGTTAGCACACCTGAACGGACATTGGAAGGCCCATAGTTCAAATCCTGGCTCCGCCGTTTTTTGGCTTTCGGTGAGTTCCTGAAAACTTTGATTATTTGATTAATTGGATTAAGTACGGTTCATTCATCTGCACATATTCCTTTATATCCTTCTCGGAGACCACGTACGATGGTGTGAAGTGTCCGTGTTGTATATTCAATAACGTGGCTCTTGATTCTCGCAGATGATGATGATACCGTGTCTCTAAAGCTCATAAACAAAGAATAGTACATGTACACGGGACGAGACAAACAGTGGGAGGATTTCTGGAGCACAAACGAGCACGTACCACGTGACACTAAACGTCGTACCGCGTTCCCCGCGGCGGCGTGTGCTTCCAGAACACCTCCGATTGGATACATTTCGTTTCTTGTGCATTAATAAGACAGATAGGAAACGCCAGAAAGCCAAGGTGAGTTGTGTCGAGGTT